TCATTCTTATGTGGGTAAAGTGTCTTGCTTAAGGACACCACAGTTTGGCACTTTACAGCTGCAGCCGCCCCACTGTGGCACCTGGTGTTCCTGAGGTCTCCCATCACAGTACTAACCAGGACTTGCTTGCAAGTTCAGCCTCTTAAATAATAAATACATATAATGGATAGCACTCTCGCTACTCAGCACGAAGGTCTTGGGTTTGAATCCCAGTCGGAACAGGGCCTTTCTGAGTGGAGTTTGCATTTTCTCCCCGTGTCTGCGTAGGTTTCCTCCGGTTTCCCCACTGTCACCTCTTTATCACAGCCGACCCCTCTCACCTGCACATGGACTATTCCAACCACTCCCCTCAGGCAGGAGGCTGCGGTCCATCAGGACTAAAACCTCCCGCCACAAGAACAGTTTCTTCCCCTCTGCTGTTGGACTCTTGAACACTTAATGACCTGTCCCCCCGCCCTTAGAAGTAATCTTAAACCAAGAGTAACAGGAGTGACAAATGCTGGAGGGACTGTGGACTTGTTGAAGATCAGACTCACATATTCTGGGATTGTCCCAAAATACATAACTTTTGGAGGAACATTAAGGACGTTTTAGAAAATTTACTAAAAGTGAGCATTTCTTTGGACTCCCAAATATTTTTATTGGACATCTTTCCAGATCATCTGACCCCTGACCAAAGATTTCTTCATCTACTCTTAATGACAGCAAGGAAAATGATAACAATTTGTTGGCTAAAACCTGAGCCACCTACAATTACACAATGGATACAAAGGACAAGACAGGTTTATTTGATGGAACGGTTGACAGCACAACTGCAACTTAAGAACCACATCTTTGAAAGAAGATGGGGTCCTCTGATTACCTTTCTTAAATAGGTCACCTAGGCCTTCATTTATTTTATTTTTTTATGAGTGAATGATTTATGAAGCCCAGTCTCAGGACAATGTTAATGTTCTGTTTTTTTGTGTGTAATCACAATAAAGTAAATCACAATACCAAAAGGAGGGAGCACATAACTCCGGTGTTAAAATCACTCCACTGGCTCCCTGTAGAGTACAGAATAAAGTTTAAAATCCTACTCTTAACATATAAAGCCATAAATGGCTTGGCTCCTTCTTATCTCCAAGACACGTTAGTGTCGTATCAACCAGGTCGAGCGTTGCGCTCACAAAACGCCAGACGTCTGGTGGTCCCTAAGGTCTCAAAGGTCACTGTTGGTGGCAGAGCATTTAGCTACCAAGCTCCTTTACTGTGGAATCAGCTTCCCATTTATGTTAAGGAAGCAGATACGGTCTCCACATTCAAGGCCAGGCTTAAAGCACTTTACTTTAATTTAGCATATAATTAGGTAATATATAATATGTAGTGTATATATTATATATATATGCTGTATTATGTTATATATTATTCAATAATGTATTGTGTTATGTTGTATATTATGTTATATATTATGCTGTATGTTATTCTTTATTCAAGGCTAGGTTTAAAACAGTCCTCTTTAGTTTAGCATATGGCTAGGAAGGTAAGACTCTGAGAAGGTTAAACTCCTCAGAGTGTTAGTCAAGCTGCATAGGGAGTCAGTTTGCTGGGAGAAGTATGGTCCCTTGAGCACTATCCTCTCCTCCTTCCTACTTTATCTGTTTAGCATTTTTAGGATTCTGACTGTAGTTTGTTCATTGCTATTCACCCGTTGTCCCATTGTCTGTTTCATGGTACGATGACGGGATCTCTGAGCCTGGCCTCTTCCATCTACACCTGCGGACTGCCCCGCCCGACCCGCCTGGGAGTGCTTCAGTCCTGCACCGGACCTGTCCACGTTCAGCGTCCACTGGTCCACGTTCTGTAGCTAGCTTAGGTCCTGGATCATTAGCCTGTCCGTCCGGAGGAGCGGATCCCTTTCTCAAATGGGTCTCCCTCCCTGTGGGTTTCCCTAGTTCTCCTCCAAGGTTTCTCACTTTTTCCCACTGGGTTTTTTAAGAGTTTTTTCTTGTCGATGCAGGAGGGTCTTGTTGGACAGTTAGTGTCCAACAGAAAGGATTGGTGATGATCAGGACACTTTAGCATTCTACAACATGTATGGACATTTTCTTCTGTGTGTGCTTTATATTCTTCATGTGTTTTAACTGTTGATTCTCTGACCTGTGTTGGTGATTTCAATGGTTTTGTTAAGTCCTCTGAGATGACTTCTGTTGTGACCTAGGGCTATACAAGAATAAATTGTATTGTATTGTGTAAATTGTGTAAAAAAAAAAAAGAAGTAATCATACGGCCCCCTATAATGTCACTTTACTGTCATAATGTCACTTTACTGCTTGTCACCCTATTGCACTGCCTATTGCATATTGTGTGCACCATGTGCACTTGTATATTGTACATAGTGACTGTAATTGTAATAATTCTATTTTAAATGTTATATCGTAGAAGTGTACGCTAATTGTTATTATTTTTATTATGCCTTACTCTATTCTTTACCTCTCCTTTGACTGTTGCACTGAGCCAAAGCAATTTCTAAGTCTGTAACTTCCTGTTACTTACGTGGCAATAAAAATCATTCTGATTCAGATTATACGTCCCAAGCTCCCCTGCGCCCACATCCCTACGTCCATACGGACTCTCCCGAGCACCTCAGTCCCCTCCCCCCCCGATTCTATCGCACCGGACCAGGTGAGGAGAGCTGAAGCGACTTAAGCAGAGGAAATCCACAAGCAGCACCGGACAGCATCAATCCCATATGCTCTCATACAACCTCAGCCTCTGGAAAAGGTCCCAGTCCTGTGGAAGACCTCGCACTGACCTCCCACCTGATGAAGAGATAGTGAGATAGATGGATAGAGAGATCTGCTGCTACAACTCAAGAACAGACACTTTGTACTGAAAGTGTCATTTATTCAATTTCACACTTTTTATATTCAGCCATTTGATCAAACAATCAGAGCACGACATCCCATAATATTCACATTATATCCAGAATTATTGAAGTTCCTTAAAGATCCCACCGTCCAATCACTTCTTTTCAACTGTTCACTTACATTAAGTCTTTCTTTGTACTATATCAAAATTTAAGCAATTTGATAAATACTTTAGAAAAAAGACTAAATACATGGATTTGTTTAATTTTCACACTTTAGGAATCATTATTTATTGCATTTCATCCTTTCACTTTTGTGATGTTTCAGCTTCACATCATGAAATAAGTAGAAAGTTGTGCTTTTCTCCATTTACCTGTTTTAAACTAGTTTTACACATAATTTAGTTTCAAAGTTGTAAAGTTATGTCAATGTTTAATATCAACACAGGAGCAGTGTGCTTTTATGTCAGGCACAGAGTTATTCAATAGAAAAATGTTTCATATTCAATATTTAGTTTGTGTTAAAAAGATTTCAGACGTTCACGTGAGAAGAGTCTGATATGACAGAAGTGACAAATCGTTTTAGTTCATTTGGCAATAAAAAGGTCACAGACAAAAACTATTTAGTGACTTTTATGGCTGGTGGCAAGTTCGTTTTCCCATCACCATCTGGAGGTGATGCCAAATAATTTCAACAACAAACATTTAAAAATGTACGTTCATTTAAAGTCTGACAAACTGAACATTCACCTTTATCCCACTCTGTCGGCCAAACATCAGTCATTTAATATACACACAGAATCCCTCGTCTGTGTGTGTTGTGGGTCTTGTGGGGTCCAGACCTGTGTGTATTTTATTTGTGGTCTTGTGGGGTCCAGACCCCCTGAGTCTGTATTATTTGTGGTCTTGTGGGGTCCAGACCTCCTGAGTCTGCATTATCTGTGGTCTTGTGGGGTCCAAACCTCCTGAGTCTGCATTATCTGTGGTCTTGTGGGGTCCAGACCTCCTGAGTCCGCATTATCTGTGGTCTTGTGGGGTCCAGACCTCCTGAGTCTGTTTAATCTGTGGTCTTGTGGGGTCCAGACCTCCTGAGTCTGTGTTATGTGTGGTCTTGTGGGGTCCAGACCTTCAGAGTCTATCTGTAGTCTTGTGTGGGGTCCAGACCTTCAGAGTCTGGTATTTGTGGTCTTGTGGGGTCCAGACCTCCTGAGTCTGCGTTATCTGTAGTCTTGTGGGGTCCAGACCTATTGAGTCTGCGTTATCTGTGGTCTTGTGAGGTCCAGACCTCCCGAGTCTGTGTTATCTGTGGTCTTGTGGGGTCCAGACCTCCCGAGTCTGCGTTATCTGTGGTCTTGTGGGGTTCAGACTTCCCTAGTCTGCATTATCTGTGGTCTTGTGGGGTCCAGACCTCCCGAGTCTGCGTTATCTGTGGTCTTGTGAGCTCCAGACCTCCTGAGTCTGTGTTATCTGTGGTCTTGTGGGGTCAAGACCTGTGTGTGTGTTATGAGGTCTTGAGGGGTCCAGACCTCCTGAGTCTGCATTATCTGCGGTCTTGTGGGAACTGAACAAACTGAACATTCATCTTTATCCCACTCTGTCGGCCAAACATCAGTCATTTAATATACACACAGAATCCCTCGTCTGTGTGTGTTGTGGGTCTTGTGGGGTCCGGACTTGTGTGTATTTTATCTGTGGTCTTGTGGGGTACAGACCTCTTGAGTCTGCATTATCTGTGGTCTTGTGGGGTCCAGACCTCCTGAGTCTGTTTAATCTGGTCTTGTGGGGTCCAGACCTCCTGAGTCTGTGTTATGTGTGGTCTTGTGGGGTCCAGACCTTCCGAGTCTGTTATCTGTGGTCTTGTGGGGTCCAGACCTCCTGAGTCTGCGTTATCTGTGGTCTTGTGCGGTCCAGACCTCCCGCGTCTGCGTTATCTGTGGTCTTGTGGGGTTCAGACTTCCCGAGTCTGCGTTATCTGTGGTCTTGTGGGGTCCAGACCTGTGTGTGTTATGTGGTCTTGAGGGGTCCAGACCTCCTGAGTCCGCATTATCTGTGGTCTTGTGGGGTCCAGACCTCCTGAGTCTGTGTTATCTGTGGTCTTGTGGGGTCCAGACCTCCTGAGTCTGTGTTATCTGTGGTCTTGTGGGGTCCAGACCTCATCCTCAGACTCAGAGTCGTTTCCCATCTCTTCCGCAGGGACAGAGTGGTCCATGTGCTGCAGTGGGATGTAGGCGTAAGGGCGAGCGATGGCGGAGGAGAGAGAGGAGGCTCTGCAGCAGGTGAGGAGGTGCAGAGAAACACTGATGCAGAGGAGCAGCAGGAGCAGAGCGGACCCAAAGATCAGCCAGGAGCGTCTGCACCACACACATATCAGACCGTGAGGACGTTTACAAAGCTGTGTGTGTGTGTGTCAGATGTGTAGGTGTATTTGTGTGTGTGTGTGTCACTCACTCAGACAGATAGTGCTGCTCCAGGGTAGAGCGCTCGTCTCGTATCCAGGATTTAAACATGTGATCGGCCAAACACTGCTCCACTGCACCCACACAACATACAACATGGACTTTCATGTGTCACCTGTGTGTGTGTATGTGCGTCCCCGAAAGTGTTTTTAGTGGTAGGGGAAACCGGAGCACCCGGAGGAACTTACGCAGACTCGGGGAGAACGTGCAAACTTCGCTAAGAAAGGCCCTGTTCCGACTGAGATTCGAACACAGGACCTTCTTACTGAGAAGCGAGAGATGTACCCACTCAGCCATCGTGCCACCCGTGTAACACACCTGTATCTATGCGTGTTGGTCACCTGTGTGTGCGTGTGTGTGTGTGTCACCTGTGTGAAGCGTTGCGTTTCTCTCCGGTGTGAATGTTGTGCTGCATTGGCCGCTGACAGCGTCACAGAAGCAGGAATCTGAGCAGTTACAGATCTGCGAACAGGACAAGCCGAACGATCCCTGAGGACACACTGAGACACAGGTACACGCTGAGACACAGCTACACGCTGAGACACAGCTACACGCTGAGACGCAGCTACACGCTGAGACGCAGCTACACGCTGAGACACAGCTACACGCTGAGACACAGCTACACGCTGAGACACAGCTACACGCTGAGACACAGGTACACGCTGAGACACAGGTACACGCTGAGACACAGGTAGGTACACGCTGAGACACAGGTACACGCTGAGACACAGGTAGGTACACACTGAGACACAGGTACACACTGAGACACAGGTACACACTGAGACACAGGTATACACTGAGACACAGGTATACACTGAGACACAGGTACACACTGAGACACAGGTACACACTGAGACACAGGTACACACTGAGACACAGGTACACACTGAGACACAGGTACACACTGAGTCACAGGTACACACTGAGACACAGGTACACACTGAGACACAGAGACAGAGGACACAGAGACATGAGACAGGGACAGAGAATCACCCGTTTGTGCAGAGACAGACCATGTCCCTGTCTAATGAAGCCCACTACCCATTATTATTCCAGTTGTTGACAAGTCTATAATAATTTGTGTCCAAGTTTTAGAGACTCCTCCCATTTCCTCAGAGTCCAGTTTAAACCTGAGGTAATGGGTGGAGCCTGGTGTGACAGCCCTGGCATACAGTATACTGTTGGTATATTACTATATTACTGACACCGTATCAGTGTATAGCAGAGTGTACCGTTCTGACAGGAGTCTCCGGTGAACCCTGGAGGACAGGAGCAGAGGCCGTGCACCGCATCACAGGAGCCTCGCACACAGGAGCAGCTCTGATTACAGCCGTCACCGTACAGACCGGAGGGGCACGCTGACAGGAGAAAGGCACAGGTCAGCTTTGGTTTGGTGAAGGAGACCATAACATCATGTCTCTGAAGGTGCTAAATCCATCTGTACTAAGCCATCAATCCCACCTGTGATAAATCCATCTGTACTAAACCATCAGTCCCACTTGTGCCAAATCCATCTGTACTAAACCATCAGTCCCACCTGTGCTAAATCCATCTGTACTAAACAATCAGTCCCACCTGTGATAAATCCATCTGCACTAAACAATCAGTCCCACCTGTGCTAAATCCATCTGTACTAAACCATCAGTCCCACCTGTGCTAAATCCATCTGTACTAAACCATCAGTCCCACCTGTGCTAAATCCATCTGTACTAAACCATCAGTCCCACCTGTGCTAAATCCATCTGTACTAAACCATCAGTCCCACTTGTGCTAAATCCATCTGTACTAAACCATCAGTCCCACTTGTGCTAAATCCATCTGTACTAAACCATCAGTCCCACTTGTGCTAAATCCATCTGTGCTAAATCCATCTGTACTAAACCATCAGTCCCACCTGTGCCAAATCCATCTGTACTAAACAATCAGTCCCACCTGTGATAAATCCATCTGTACTAAACAATCAGTCCCACCTGTGCCAAATCCATCTGTACTAAACCATCAGTCCCACCTGTGCCAAATCCATCTGTACTAAACTAAAGCTTCAGCTGTTTGATGTCGTTACCTCGGCTGCAGTTGTGTCCGATCCACCCAGCGTCGCACACACAGCCCTCTGCAAACACATGCAGGACAGGTGTTACACTGACGGTGCATGTGTAGTGACCGTGTGTTAGTGTGTGTGTGTGTGTAGTGACCGAGAGTTAGTGTGTGTGTGTGTAGTGACCGTGTGTTTGTGTGTGTACCGACTGTTTGTGTGTGTGCGTACTGACCGTTTGTGTGTGTGTGTACTGACCGTGTGTGCACATGCCGTGGCGTCCGCAGCCTCGGTCCTCACAAGGAGCTCTCTCACACAGGTCCCCGCTCCAGCCGGCCTCACAAACACACACCCCAGACTCACAGCGACCTCTGCAGCCGGCTTCACAACGTCTGGGGTGGACACACAGCACAGTGGACACGGCTCGAGCACAGCGCCACCTGCTGTCTGGAATGCTGAAGTGCACACATACAAACGTGTTGAGTCTGACACAGTCCGTGCAAGTCCTACACTTCAACATTTGAGATGCCGGTTATTTACATTATAAACCTCAACTAAAAGACCAAATTAGAAAGAGAATCAGGAAAATCACATTATTAAAGATTATATGGGGGTGGAAACATGTTTTGGGGCAGTTTTTCTGCAAAGGGACCAGGACAGTGTGCTCAAACCTGCAGCCAGGTTTGAGAAGACACAGCCTCAGTCTCCAGATCCGAAGCCATGTTGATCAGCAGCGAGATTAAAATGTGTGTGAAATGTTGACAGACATAGCTGCATGAGCTACGCGCCACGTATCCGCACGCAGCATAAGATAAGTGAACAATAACTATACTAAATAGAAAAAAAACTCTAAATGTGGCCCTATGCTGCATGTGTCCAGACTAAAGCTGAAGCTGCAGACTCCTAGCCTCACCAGTGGTCTGAGGGGTAGCTCACCAGTGGTCTGAGGGGTAGCTGGCCAGAGACCCGTTCTTCACAAAGGTCGAAGAGCCGCCTCCGTCCAGGTTTATGGCGTTGATCACATTGTGCTCCTTCAGGAAGTCTGCCATCTCCCACAGATTCATCCTGAAACACAGCAGCCGTCACTCCCTCTGCTTCAGGCTCACTGTGTCACAGGACCCTCTGCTTCAGGCTCACTGTGTCACATGTTCATTCAGTCTTTAACCAAACTGAGCAGTTGTCCAGTGTGATACAGGATGTACAGTATGCAACATGTGGCTGAGTGGCAGCTCAGGCCTTACACATGCTGGTGCCACCCATAGACTGTAAAAATTAATGAACATAGTCACGCCTATCTCCGCCGTTCTAACTAATGAGCCAAAAAATGTGCTCTACTAGAGCTATTCAAAATGGCCGCGAGTGGTCCCGCCCACAAGAAAATTATGAAACAACGCATCTGTGCATGCATTCATTTGAACAAGTGCCTTCAAAAATTCACAGCAAGTAAACTAGAGTGGTCCAAAAAAATTCACCCCCCTCAGCATTGACACACATGTGGAACGGAGCTTTGGGCCAAGAGCCAACTTTTGGTCCATCCTGTAAAGACGTTTTTGAAAGGTCTGCCAATGCTATATGTTAGCATTGGCTAATTCTTCTTCTGGGTCCACCCCCATCGGCCCGGGGTGGTATTGTAAGCATGTCATTTTGGTCACTTTTGATTCGGGACCCGCCCCCACTGGTGCCACCCCACCGGCCCAGAAATGGATTAAGGGGTAGAAAATGGATGGACATGTCAGTGAGGACTGCTCACCCTCGTAGTTCTGTCTGTCCATCGATGTGCACAAGCAGAACTCTGCCCTGAGCGTCGTGTCCCACCACGGTGCGAGCCGAGATCACGTCCACGAAGTGACGCAGCGCTCCTGCACATGCACACACACATTACATAGCACACCATCCCCCTATAAACGCACATGCTCCACATCTGGAATGGAGGAGGAGCAGAGGAGCGGAGGAGGAGGAGCTGAGGAGCAGCAGAGGTGGAAGAGCTGAGGAGGAACAGACGAGGAGGAGCAGAGGAGGAAGAGCAGAGGAGGAAGAGCAGAGGAGGAGGAGCAGAGGAGGAAGAGCAGAGGAGGAGGAGCAGAGGAGGAGCAGAGGAGGAGGAGCCGAGGAGGAGGAGCAGAGGAGGAGGAGCCGAGGAGGAGGAGCTGAGGAGGAGGAGCAGAGGAGGAAGAGCAGAGGAGGAGGAGCAGAGGAGGAGGAGCAGAGGAGGAGGAGCCGAGGAGGAGGAGCAGAGGAGGAAGAGCAGAGGAGGAACAGAGGAGGAGGAGCAGAGGAGGAGGAGCAGAGGAGGAAGAGCAGAGGAGGAAGAGCAGAGGAGGAGGAGCAGAGGAGGAGGAGCAGAGGAGGAAGAGCAGAGGAGGAACAGCCGAGGAGGAGGAGCAGAGGAGGAAGAGCAGAGGAGGAACAGAGGAGGAACAGAGGAGCGGAGGAGGAAGAGCCGAGGAGGAGGAGCAGAGGAAGAGCAGAGGTACCGGTCTCCTGGGTCTCATCACACTCTGCCTGGAGGCTGTGGTTGATGTAGACCTGTCCGTCTCGCAGCAGCCACATCACTCCACTGACCAGCTGAACAAAGGGGTTCTTCTGGTCCAGCACCTCCTCCTCAGACAGATACCTGCACAAACCAGACCAGGACTTAGTACTGAAGTCCTTTTAACACGAGACCTCTGAGAGCAGTCATTTTGACCAAGTTTTCCATTATTATTAATATTATAAGTAAGTCATTTATAAGGTTTTACATTTAAACATTTTTTTACTTATTTTTATTCAGATTTAGAGCAGCACGAGAGACGCCATGGTCAACTAAATAACATTGAGGAGACAGAGGTCAAACGCTGTTAAACAAATGTTTTTAAGACTATTCCAATCTCACTTTCTTTTCTAATGGAGGTACAAACAGCTGCTCTCACCCGAACACCAGGCTGCCGTCTCGGCGGATTCCAAACTGAGCGTTCTGGACGCCCCCGCTGCTCCTCACCAGTCGACCCTCACTGATCACGTTCCCGAGACACTGCCCCTTGCTGGTGTTGAAAAAGCCTGCGTTCTGGGCGTAGATGCACCCGCCTGATTGGGCCGTTGTCTCCACAGGGGTCAAATGGTTCAGGCCACAGCCGCCCACTCCCCCCGGCTCCAGCACTGAGAGGGTCCGCAGGGGGTCTTGCACCACCGTCATGTGGCCTGTAGGGGCAGCACACTCAGACACTCAGGAGCGATTCTCTGTTTCATTTGCTTTGGGGACAATCTACAGCTTAATTAAGTTAAAACAATGTGCATCGACAGGAGTCCAATCAAGAACAAAACAATCAACAAGAAAACAATAATCAGTTCTTACATTTCTCCTGAACCTGTTCGCACCATTCAACTCTTATGTTATCATTGCATTTCCTGTGTTTGAACTGTTTGATTCTCTGATCTGTGTTGGAGAATCGACAGCTTTGTAAAGTCCTCTAATGCTAACTACTGAGATAACTACTGTTGAGAGTCAGGGCGATACAAACATAAATAGAGTGAGAGAGTAGAGCCCTGACCGTAGACCCAGCGCGGGCCGGAGGAGCTCTTCACGTCGGTCACGAACACAGAGGACCGGGCCTCTTCACCCTGAGTGGCATCCGCTTTCCATGTTTCATGGGTGCTGTTTCCGAAGAGCAGAGGCTGACAGTCCCGAACGTGACGGTGGGAGTGAGAGGGGCCGTGAGGACCAGTGTAGGGGAGGAGCAGGTCCAGAGGAGGCCTGAGAGCACAGACACAGCTCAATATAACGATGGATTCACAGGAATGCTGAATATGATCATTCAATGTATACATTCCATATTTATATTAAAGACATTCATTTTTCTTCATTTTTGTTAGAAATGTTTCACAATATAATGTCCCAAACACTTTTTTTTTTTACAAGGATTTTGTGATTTATTCAGGTTTTCATACACTTGCACACTGTACTTGCAGAGACCAGTGTTTTATTTTATTTACAAATGCAACATTTCAGTCGTGGGTCTTCATCAGACAAAGTACAGTGACAAGAGTGGTTTTCTTCCTTGTCAAATTTGGAAAAGTTGTGTGCGGAGCCTGCTCTTACGCACCTGTCACAGAGTAGGATGAGTAAGTTTTCTGCTTTCTACAGGTTTTCATAATCCCCATTATTTTCCGCTGTCACAAAGACACACTGTTTTTGTGCCCGCGCAAAATAATCCCATTCTCACAGACAAAACAGTTTTAGCACAAAGTATCCAGGAGTGTTTGATTCTCTGATCTGTGTTGGAGAATCGACAGCTTTGTAAAGTCCTCAGAGATATCTACTGTTGAGATTCAGGACGATACAGTGGATTATAACAGGTGAAAGCTAAGGTGGTCCCACCTTTAAGACATACAATAGAATCATAAACATGGATTTCTGTCCGTTTACACATAATAATAATATAAAGGCTTTGACTCATCATAGTCATCACTTTTATACTCATTGAGAGTTCAGCCCGTGTTTACTCTGTGATCTCTGTATTTACTCTGTGATCTCAGGTCCAGCCAGGACGTAGCATTATAAACTTTAACATAAATCAACAACTATTTGAAAACCAAACATGGGCTTTTATTAACATTTATGAAAATTGGTCCCTGCCCCTTATGGCCCAATACCAATGTCTTTTCTATCATTGCATTTCCTGTTTGATTCTCTGATCTGTGCTGGTGAATCAACAGCTTTGTAAAGTCCATCAATTTTCTTCCCCTTAATCCATTTCTGGATGTAGGGGGTGGCAGTCCCTTTCAAGCATCACTGTGTAGGCTATTTGTATGTCTTCCTTTTTGATTTTATTCTCAGAACACTGTTTGCATGAAAAATATAAATAAAATAAAAATACAAAAATATTTCAATTAATATATGAATGAAGAAAAAGCTGGTTTTATTATTAGTCAACTTTGAACTTTTTATTTATTTATTTTTTTTAAAAGCATCTGTTGTGTGACGTGAATGCTACATTAGCCACAGTTAGCTCCGGAAGTCTGCGTAAACTCACCGGGGGTTTTGTGAAGCATGAAGCCGAGTACAGAGCCCCAGCAGCGGCCACACGAACCGGAGCCAACCCACGGCCATATGCGGAGAATTTAGCCCAGGAGGACACACTTTCCCCCGGCTATAGCTCCCATCCTCAAGCCTTTACAATGTGGAGCCAGGAAGAGTAAAGAGGACGTAGACACACATACGCTTCCGTTATCGCACTACAAAATAAAAGCTTAAACCGTTTGATTGAATCTGTTTTCTAGTTCCTACCTTTAGCGTGTTTTGCGCAAATTATGTATTGATAATAATTCAATATCAAATAAAAGAGATGTCAATGTTTTAAAGTGCAGTGAGTACGTTGATAAAAAGCAACATACTTTTATTTTGAAATTCTATGTAAAATGTTCCTAAAGACGTCTTGTAACTTGGTGTATGCTGCTCACGTGACTAAATCCGATGTTTTCACGTGGCCCTTTGCAACACGTCATCTGTCAAACTAAAACTGTCAGACTGTCAAGTAGAACACTTTTATTGAGTGACTGCATAAATACCTGTTCTTGTACTCTTTATTCCATTTTCTTCTATCAACTTCTGTCTTCTTCTGTCTTCACTCTTCTTGTCTCTCACTCGTTTCTTGGGGGCTGTTACTTTTGGTGTATGCATCTTTTGCAGTATTTGACATATTTGTACAATTTTACTTTTTCATGTCTTTTATAATGCGGCTTTTTAACATCTTATTATTATAATTTTTTTTACTTTATATTCATTTGCAGAATCGGTACATTTTAACGCTTCCATTGATTTCAATAAACACTTTCTGTTTTCAACTCGTTTGTATATTCAGAAGTTCTTTCCCATAGTATTCACAGTATTCACAGATCTATAAACTTTTTCCTATCATTTATAATAGGACTTCATAATGTGTTTGACCTTTTTAGTGTTATGTAGTACTTTGTTTTGTTATTGTAGTCACCGTGTAATAAGGGTGTTATAATTGTTTGTTTTCTAATGTGTTTAGTGTTTTGTATCACTTTGTTTTTGTTTTTGCACTCACTCACGATGGCTTCAGCCGATGTACAATGTGTAGTTTAGATTTTAAGTTGCACATTGACAGGAGCTTGTCTCATACTTTCGGGCTAACAAAATGTTGCATGAGTCTTTCTGGAACTAATGATTACATGCCCGCTGCCTTTAACAAAGACATATTAAGCATTATTTTTGGCAATTCAAAATACCAAACGGTGGAACAGAAAGGGTATTGATATTTTAATGGCACAAACAAGAGAATGATTGAACACAGATCAGATTTAAGTTTGCTCTTGTAAAAGGGTATTGCAGATTATATGTTAGGGCGCCTATCTCTGCATGTTGTATGTGACTGTCCTGGGACCTGTGCTTGAGAAACACTGGGAAGAACTATCCCAATTGAGTCCAAAACAGTTCACTTGTCCGATCTATCTTTTTCTTTTTACCCCAAATTGACAAACACCAGCAGATGGGAACAGAATATGTTGTTAATTTCTCCATTTTGAGATCAATAAAGTTTATGTTCAAGATAGAGATTTTATACTTTTTCTTTGATGCTAGAGTTAGAGATGTTGTTTTATTTTAGTGGGTTAAGGTTAGGGTTATTTTTCACTTCTGTGTTCTTGTGCTGTGTGTCCCTCATTCTTAATCTATTTTATCTTATCTTATCTTAATTTTTTTTGCCAAAATAGATTAGAAAAGATTAACACTGTCTAGACTCCAAACATAACAGCAACAGAAATAATTGACTAAATCTGACATAAATATAATAAAAAACCAGTGTTGTGCGTGAACGAGTTCAAAAGAACGCGTTCATTGAACACGCTCATTTTTTCGTGAACGTTGAACTGAACGCAACACATAAAAAAAAAAAAGAACTTGAACGTGAATTAGTTCAATTAATGTGTCATGAACGGCAGACATCACTATGAACGTTGGAATCTGTTTTTTCTTTTGAAACGCAACGAGAGAAAGTTCCTCCCTCCTGTATTCTCGCACTTTTTCCGCCGAAATCTAAAAATTCCTACGGTTTCCATCGTCTCTGAACGCACCCCGACTCTGTGGTGGTGAGCTTGTGATTTTCACATGTGCCCGAGTCGTGATGAAAACACAGGGTGTGTTAGCGACAAAGTTTACACCGTTTACATTTGACATAAAGTATAGACACACGCACTGCAGCGCATTACTGTCTGTAGTTTATGAGCAGAGATGGAGCAACTCAGTTTTGCTCCCATTGAAAACCATGTAAATCTTGTCTGTTTTGTAGTCAAAAGGCTCTCCTCCTGTGGGTGTACAGGAGATATATATATATATATAAAATATATATAAAATATATATTTTATATATATATATATATATATATATATATATATATATATATATAGATTTTATATATATTATATATATATATATATAGATTTTATATATATTATATATATATATATAGATTTTATATATATTATATATATATATATAGATTTTATATATATATTATATATATATATATTTTATATATATATATATACCAGAGCGATAGAGGCCCAGATATACCACACCAGACAAGACCCAAGGTGTCGGTTGTGCAAAGAGGCACCTGAGACGATCCAACACATAACTGCAGGGTGCAAGATGCTGCAGGGAAGGCCTACATGGAACACCATAACCAAGTGGCTGGCATAGTGTACAGAAACATCTGTGCAGAGTATGGGCTGGAAACCCCAAGGTCTAAGTGGGAAACTCCTCCAAAGGTGGTGGAGAATGAGCGTGCAAAGATCCTGTGGGACTTCCAGATACAGACCGACCGAATGGTAATGGCGAACCAACCTGACATCGTGGTGGTAGACAAAGGGCAGAGGACAGCCAGTGGACGTGGCAATTCCAATCGATGGTAACATCCGGAAAAAGGAACATGAAAAGCTTGAGAAATACCAAGGTCTCAGAGAGGAGCTGGAGAGGGCCTGGAGGGTAAAGGTGACAGTAGTGCCCGTGGTGATCGATGCACTCGGGGCAGTGACCCCGAAGCTGGAAGAGTGGTTACACTTACAGCGGATCCCTGGAACAACCTCGGACATCTCGGTCCAGAAATGTTCAGTACTAGGAACAGCAAAGCTACTGCGCAGAACCCTCAAGCTCCCAGGCCTCTGGTAGAGGACCCGAGCTTAGAGAGGGATAACCGCCCGCGGAGGGCCAAAGGTGAGTGGACAATTTGTTTTATATATATATATATATATATATATATATATATATATTATAGCTCGTAGTGTGAAAAAATATTTATTTAAGTATCTCACGAAAAAAGTAAAATGAACTGAACTTTGAACTAGTTCAGAATTAAAAATGTGAACTTTGAACGTGAACTGTTCACTTTGAGCATGTATGAACTGAACTTGAACTAGTTCAAAAAAGCTGTGAACTGGCACAACACTGATAAAAACATAGAGTATTCTTGTCATAATGAACTCTGAAGAACAGAGGTTTCAGAGCATCTGTAGTTCCACCTGTCACCACCAGGCGCCAGTGTTGTATCACTTTAGGTCCAGCCTCAGACTGGAACTTTTGTCTTCATCTGATTAGAAAACGTCTCCTCTTCATAATGTTTTGAAAATATATGTTTTTTCTTTTGAAAGTTAAAATGTGACTGAGACTCAGAGGTTTAGACTCAGCTGGTTCAGACTCAGACTCAGTGTTCAGACAGATTCGGGAGGCCCTTATGGAACTGACAGTGGCGTTCATGTGGGTACCAGGCTAACAGATCCATGGTACCAGCCCATGTGGGGGTCCCAGGGAATGAGGCGGCAGATTCCGTGACAAAGCAAACATCAGTGTAAAACACCCACAGGATTTAAAGATTATTGTTGAATTGTCACAAAGCTAGTTTGGGAATAGAGGCAGAGGCAGTGGGACAGAGAGACAATAGTGTCAAAGGAGGAGGCACCAGTTGGGGAAAGCCGAGCAAGTACTTTACTCCAGGTTAAGTACTTGGCCCTTCTGGTCTAACCCCTGGACTGGCCCCTGGTCTGGTTCCTGGACTGGCCCTCGATCTGGTTCCTGGACTGGCCCCTGGTCTGGTTCCTGGACTGGCCCCCGATCTGGTTCCTGGACTGGCCCCTGCACTGACTCTTACTGTAAAAAAAACTCTTCTTAGTCTCTATCATATGTTGGAAAAGTCTCTGCTGTAATCGGATTGATCATCTCAACCAACCTCCACACTCGGATGTAGTTCTGAATGCAACCTGAGGGAGGCAGCACTGCACCAGAATGAGTCATATCTGCGCAAACTCACAAACGAAGAAGAAGAGCAGTTTTCCTGCGGGAGGGGCCACCGGAAACAGAACGTGTTTTTCTCACAGCCGTAAACTCCACGCAGACGTAAGTTCAAGGTTTTAAACTCTTTCATTCATCTCTAACCTGACTGTAGACTTAGTTCAACATGCATTTATGTGATAAAGAGTTTGTGAAGGACGTGTCTGAGGTTTAGGGCACTATACTCTGCTCTGGATGGATGGAAATGTATTTATTTGACTGGAACACTGCAGTCAGACTCAGTTACTTACCGAAGCTGCAGCTGATGTGACGCAGACAGAGGTTTTAGCAGATGCTGTAGGGCTTTTCTACACACACTTTCAAAACTGTACACAGACAGTGCAAAAATAAAAGGTCCAATGTCTCATTCTCTTCATTCTTGCTTAATTCGTCTCGTCGATCACTGTTGTATTTAGCCCCAAATGCAGTTTTTCATCAATATCTTAATCAGGATTTCCCCAGAACATGTGGAATCCTTGTGCTGTGAGCCTCAGTCAAAATGACCCAAAACAGTGATTTAAAAGTAGAACAAAAATACCCAAAATCAGGTAAAAGGCTCTGAAAAGGTCTGACCCAGGTCTGGTCCAGTTGGTGGGAAATGAAGATTCAGCTCACCTTTCTTGAGCACAGGGTTGTAGTAAGTAAGTAGTAAGTAATCTTTATTTATATACCGCCTTTTCACTGCGAGTGAGTCTCAAAGCGGTTTACAATTGTTATTTTTGGGAGCGGGGTCGCCAGTACAGTAGGCACATGTCAGACCTATT